ACGTTAGTCGAGCGTAAGCTCAAAATCACGTGATATGAGGATCAGCGAAGCAACATAACGTTATCTCATGGAGAGAGAGAGAGAGAGAGAGAGAGAGAGAGAGAGAGAGAGAGAGAGAGAGAGAGAGAGAGAGAGAGAGGGCGAAAGGAGGTTGGCACATATCACAAACACACACTCACGTGGGTTAAGGGCAATTAATCAAAAAGGAAGGGAGACGGAAAGGACCGACGTATTCATGCACTCGTGTCAGCAATCAACACTCGGTACCCTATGATCATCCGCCCTTACTGAGACATTCAACATCCATAGACTTCCATACCCGAGAAGGCATACAATACACTACCCCCAGATTGGGGGAACTTGCGCACATCACACGGGGACAAAGCAGCAATGGAGAAAAAGCTCCGTCTTAAAAATACAGAATTCTCTCAACTGGCCGCTCCGGGCCCAATCCCCAATCCGTCAAAACCACCGACAACCATAGCCACAAGGCCCTGCCGCTGTCGGCATCTGATCTCCACCACCGCTCAGTCCCTCTGACTGCCTTACCCCGAGTCTACCGCTAACTCCGCCACCCGCCGTCACTCCGCCCACCACGGGGCACGTCGAGCCTTTCCGGCGCCACGGGCTTCCCGCATAGCTTGCGCAGTTGCAACCGAGATCAAAGAGAGTGAGAGGAAGGGGTTGTGAGAATTTATAGCGCGGAAGGCGCGGAGAGGCTGCACGAAGCGCGGGGTGTAGATGATCGGGACAGAAGAAGGGCAAACGTTCTAGAAGGATCGAAGGAGGCGAGTCGAATGGTCTGCGTGATTGGGGTGGTCGTGGCTTCCCGTGGCCACCACATTGCCCCGACCATCCCAATCAGACAGCCAATCATTCGCAGGGAAAGGAGAAGGAGGGGATCGGACTTCGCTTAGAGGGAAGACGAAGAGACAATGAGGAGGGAGATCCACAGCAAGAAGGGAAGATGGCGTGGGGATGCAGAGCGCGAGAACAGGTTTACGTGGCGCGCAAAAATTCAAAAACCGCCGCGCGCTCAAAAATTCAAAATCCCTACTCCCGCTAAGTCCCAACCGTTTCTTGAATTTCTTGGCGCGGCCGCTAACCGGCTACGCCAGACCCAAATTACATTTTCTATTCCGCCCCCACTGCCCTTAAACAAAAAGGAAAATGAAACACCACTTTCCCCCATTATCTCGAATCTGTACTTCAGGGTTCTACGTGGGATTTTCCTTTAGGGGTACGGGAAACCGCCGAGTGCGGATCCTGGCGTATCACAGACGCGTCATCTACATACCGGAGCCCAGCAACGAGGCGTCTATCATTGCCTAGAGTCACCAAGAAATCCCATTCTGATTTCGTGCACATCATGCAGGCTAACGGTGGACTGGTCGATTTTCCTATGGGTATTCCAATGACCTGCTGCAGGATGATCCTCCCTGCCGCCGTGAAACAACCTCCCAGCTCAAAATTAACAAAAAAACAAATCATTTCAAAGCTCATGAACTGAAAACCATCCACACTTCTCTCTCTACTGAACATTGTCCCTTAGTTTGCACCTTCTTCTGACGAAAACACCCTGAAAACCTCTCGACTCAAACCACCAAATAAACCAATCAACAACTCGTACAATCGTAGCGTGGGGAAGTCTATTAAACATGTCTTTGATATCATAAGAGCCGCTCAAAATCTGCGCATTGGTACGACGCATACCCTGATTTATCCTAACCAGGCGATCCCGCAAATCGGACACCGATTTCAAATTGAAATGTTTGCTTTCCGGAATCGAGAACAGCATTCCGTTCAACGCACGAGCCACCTTCTTACATGCCCTATTGCTAGGCTCACTGAAAGCTGGGCAAATCACCCAGTATTTCGTTGAGTCCTTGTGTCTTAGGAGAGTGTAAGCTCTTCCCAGTTTGTCATCCTTCTTCCAATGTGCAGTCTGCTCCAAATTTCCTTTTCCATAGGCAGCATGCAAAAGATTGATAATATCCTCCTCTGATTCCTTCCGAATTACGTAACCATTATTAGCTGTAAAGGTCGTCCTCATTACTTCAGCATACACAGCCGGACACATGACTAGTGTGTCCCCGGGATTACAATCCAACGGGCAACACACCAGGCCGTTCACGCTTCCGCGCACCCGTCGCACCACATTTGCATCATCACAATTGCCAGCCCTATCCTTCACCACGCACAACTCAATCTCTTCCTGCGCAAATTCCATCCGCCCCACTCCCTTTCCTAGCCAGCTCAGGTCAGAGAAGCTGTCAGCTACTTCCTTGGACAGTCTCGCCAACAGTCCATCCTACACATTTCTCGGTATATTCTTAGCGTTACAGGGGGCACGCCCCCCTAACACCCCTGTCACCCAGTGTTCTTCCCGCGCCGCCATGGTCACTCCAGCGCCAAGTTTTGGCAGTCGAAGCAGACAGATTTCGTCGGCCCCGTTCGCAAGCCCCCAACGCCCAAGCACCGCCACTGAGGCGACGCATTAGCGCACCGTTACCGCAGCTCTAACGCGCCACCTGTCGAGCCCTACATGCCAGAGGTATGTCACGGTTGTCACCGTAAGGCAAAAGTTGTTCAGTTTATTTTTCTGCATAACATAGTTTTTTTTTCTTTTTTTCTTTTTTGTTTTCTTTTTCTTTTGGGCATTCGGGCTCGGACAGACTACCCCGGTAGGACGTCCGAACGGCCCGGACTGTCAGGGGGTCCTGGACGTCAGGCCAGGTAACATACCCTGTTTTCTTTTTCTTTTGGGCATTCGGGCTCGGACAGACTGCCCCGGTAGGACGTCCGAACGGTTGTCCAACCAGACAGCCCCGGACGGTCAGGGGGTCCTGGACGTCAGGCCAGGTAACATACCCGGACATCAGGCCAGGTAACATAGCTTTCCAGAGAGAGAAGGGGAAAAAAAAAACTAACCAAAAAAATAAAAAATAAAAATGGATATATAGCAAAGTCGTCACTCACAAGGGCCTTATCTTTCATCATCTTCCGCATAGAATAAGCCAGACTGGAGGAACAATAGGAAACAGCGGCAGAAACCAGACAGACGAGGCACCAGCATTCATAATTAGCAAGCAAGGGAAGAAGACGAGGTGGACGGAAAAGGGAGAAGGTGCCTGCTTATAAGGGAAGACAGACGAGGAAGAAGGAAATGGAAGCAGATGTTGGTGAAGATGCTACTCGTCAAAATTTCATTATTTTCAATTTTTCACCAAATTGAATTTGAAGACTTACAAGGGTTTACATTTCGCAGGGAAAAAAAATTAATACACCATGATGCCATGAAAGGTCGCATGATCAAGGGCCCAAGGGAAAAAAAATTAATACACCATGATGCCATGAAAGGTCGCATGATCGAGGGCCCATCAACCTTGCTGATGTCTAGCAAAATTGGGGCCAATAGGAAGCACGTCGTCCCCAGTAAGCAATGGAATGATTAGTAGATTACTAGATTTATATATACTACTGTCTTCCCCCGAACATAACGCACCGTCATTTTGTCTGTACTGGACCGGAAAGATAGCTTATATACATTCATGATCAGGGTGCCGTAGTCCTTCTGCATGTCTCTTTTTAATCCTCCAAGCACATCCAGGGTTCAGGGAAAGAGAGGTACGACAACAGTTATGGTACCTTGCTTCGAGTGGAGTGGCGGTTTAATAACCATCCGCTGATGATCAGAGAACCATCTGTGCTCCTTAGAAGGAAGGAGGAGGAGGGGTGGGGAAGGAGGACGAGAGAGGAGAAGGAGGGGGGGAGGAGGAGGAGGAGGATGTCAGGGGGGAGAAAGAGGTCACACACTGCGGGAGAGAGGGAAGGACAATTACAATCAGGAGGAGGACAAACATGCAAGGAAGCAGGTGGAGAATAGGGACCGGACTGTTGCTCCCCAGAATGGCAGGAGCCAGAACCGAAAGGGTTCTGTTTTTATTTGGGAAAAAAAAAAAAAAAAAGAGGGCCAGGAGAATAAGAGGGTTGGCTGCTGTGAGCATGACAAAAAAGGAGGGTAGGGAGAGGGTTGTCATTGTGTCCTGGGAGGGAGAGGAGGGGGTTGAGAGTGGAAAGGGACACGAAGCATTCCCTTTTTCTTTTTGAGCTGTTTCGGGGACTCCGAGAGAGAATGGAATGTGGGTTTCTCATTTCCTACCGTCTTCATCTGAATAGAATGCCCGTTTTTTATAGCTGTATTTGCCATTTGGTGCAACTTTCAGTCTGGATAGGGTGATAATGGCCCGCCGTTCTCTTCAGGTGACGACTGTAGCCCTGGGTCGCCCGGTACAGTAATGGATCATCCTCGTGATGTTGTCAAAGAGCCATGCTACCGTCTTCCCCCGAACACAACGCACACTTATTTTGGACGTATCTGGCCGGAAATATAGCTTGTATACATTCATTTTTAGGGTGCGTTATGTTCGGGGGAAGACGGTAGTGGCTCTAACATGGCCCTGCAGAGTGACCCATTTTATTGACATCGAAAGAGTCGAGTCGGACTAAGTCTGTATGTTGGGTCTAGAGTGTGACTCACTCATTACACTTTCACTCTTGCATACTCCAACTTGAAGTTAAATCTCTATTCTGTTTTTTCAAGTTCATGCGGGAAGTCTCAGGCAAGCACAATGGGGCTTTGGACGAGTGGGCCGACATTACGACATAGGCCTAGAAGCCAGGAGTGGGAAACAGTTTTTTTCTCGCAGCTTAGGAGCAGATAACCATCTACCTTAAAGTTTCTATCTTTCCTTTTCTTTCCCTCTCTTTTCTTCGCCTTTCTTGGGTTTCTTTTCTTTTTCTTTTTTTCTTTTTTAGAAACAGCCCGAGTGAATGCTAGGGGTGCTGATAAGAGCAGACACCGCTAGCACACTCGGGAATTTGTCTTTTTCCCTCCTTGGTTCACACGTTTCCAGTTCTCAGCTCCGCAATCTGTTTGTCTACTATGCGTCCACCTACCCGTTTCTCGGCCTGTTGTCTCTTGCCTTTCTCTTCCTTTCTTTTCTTTTTCCTTCCTATTCTTTTTTCTTTTCTTTTCGCTGCATCTCTTGTAAAATCCGGCAGGACTCTGTGACATATCGCCTGCATCTTTCTTCGCGCTTAGTCGCGTGACTCCTTACTTCCAAGACCTCTGGCCACCCTGGATATCTCTGTCTTTTCCTATACTTGCTGCCAGCCTGCTGCCATCCACTTGGTCGCGTGACTCCTTACTTCCAAGACCTCTGGCCGGTTACCAGTGGGATGCGACTCTCGATTTATGTGTGTCATCCTTGCGCAGGGGCCATGCTAATCTTCTCAGACTTCTGTGTATCGTTCCAATTTTAACGGATGTCCCGAAGGACAGTGGGATACGACTCATACGAGTGTTCGATCACCTTCACAGATTCCTGCTTTCCAAATAGCTCGGCCTTCCTGTACCTGCTGGCTTTTTTTCCCCTGTAAACCATTTCCAATTCTCAGGCCCTGTTAGCACGGTCTCTGCATTCGCTGCTCTGCAGGATTCCCTGCCTTCCGCCATGATCCCTCTTTCCCGCCTAATGTTTTTCCTGCTTTCTCAGGTAGCGGAGCCATGACTTATGATTTTTGGTGGATACTCAGGATGTTTCTTCGGGAACCATAGCAGTATTTAAGTAGGAAGAAAGGCCATTACGAGCATGCGCTCGCTAGCCCCCCGATGAGGCTTCGCTCTGGCGGTGAAGCTGAAACCAGTCGGGACAATCGCCAGGAGGCTTTTTGCACTCCATTTTGTTTTAACGAAGGCCTCGATCTTTGCGCTATCTCGTGTGCTGTTCTTCCTTCTACCCGAGTTCTCCATCTCTCCCTTCTCTCTCTCCCTCCTACTCCTCCCATCATCTCAGAAGGTTTCCAATCGCTCCTCTTGATTGGGCGTTGCTGATCTGCTGTTTCCATGTGTGATGATCCATGGTGGATGTTTCGGTCTGATTGGGGTTTATCCCTGTCATGATGGGGATTGCTAGTGCTTGGCACTTGTTCTCCTTCTCTGACCCGGTTCCCAGCACGTGCTGCTCCCCACGAATAGATTGGAGCACTTGTAAAAAAAAAAAAAAAAAAAAAAAAAAAGGTTAAACCGCCAGTACCTTTCCCAACCAAACTTCTGAATGCCACCCGTTAACACAGATGCGCCCGTGCTGGCCCTCGGCCGCACCCAGATTCAGGCCGAACCCTTGGCACACAGGGCCCCTGGCCAACATATGGGAAAGGTACTGGCGGTTTAATGCAGAAGTGTGTGCATGGCTTTCGGTTTTCTCTCTGAAAGGCTGTCAAGTTGGTGTTTTCGTGCATTTTGATGGATGTCTTTGCAATCTGGAAGGGTTGATCAAACTTGTTGATGAAACTGTTTGCGGCATTTTGCTCATTTAATTTATTACTCTCTTCCTCTTGCAAGATGTGGCTGCGACTGGGGTGTTTTTGCGACACAGGATTAGCCTCATGTGCATGGGCACTCGCCGCACGTATGGAGTGTCACTGAGTCATATCACGCTTCACTAAGTCTTCACAAGGGTTCTAGTTCCTTGATCCACCGTAGCAGTCTTCCTGAGTTCCCGCCACAGACAAGGATGTTGTGTACTGTGATGTGGACGTTAGAGGTGCGCTATTGCAGACCGACCAGCTTCACTTCTATAACCTTTCTAAGGATTGTCATGTCGGTGTTGACTGCTTCCATTCCCCTCAAATCATCCTCCCTTAATCTGATCTCACGGCGCTGCCCTGGTCAGCAGCCCATGCCACGTGGGACCCCCAATACAGCTTTAAATTTTGCCGGTGTAAGAATCTGATAAAGAAGTCCTGTCCGTGGTGCCGGTTGGTGTCGGGATATAAAGGTGCCATGCGCTTTCCAAAGGACAGCCACGCCACAAGCCCGGTTCCAGAAAGCTTCCTCGTCCCCACACTCCACCCCCATCGCCATCCAATGACAATTATTCCTCAGATTAATCGAAGTGAAACAGCAAGACTCGTCTATCCCCACCCCTTTTTAAAAATTTGGACGTTGCCGAAATGCTTTTATTCTGCTTAAACCAACAGTACCTTTCTCGGCTATCAATGCCGAGCCTAAAACTGCCCTGCCCACCAAAAGAAAACGAACCGGCGCCGCCCTAATTTGGCTGGCGCCACCAGCCATTTCGCGCTGCCCGCCTCCCGTGTTAACCGGCGGGCATTTGTTTTTCAAGCAGGGAGAGGTACTGGTGGTTTAATATGAGGCCATGAGCCGTTTTTTTGGCCATCCCTTGTCTGTTTCCTTTCTGGCAGCATAAGTTTTTGTTTCGGCCAAATGTTAAAGTCTGACCCCAGCTACAGCCCAAAGGGCTTTGACATCACAACTTATCTTCTCTTATAGGGGACGAGCGGCGCGTTAGCGCTCCGCTAACGCGTCGCCTCAGTGGTGGTGTTCGGGCGTTGGGGGCTCGCTAATGGGGCCAACGAAATCTGTCTGCTTCTACAGCCAAAACTTGGCGCTGGCATGACCATGGCGGCGCAGGGAAGATCACGGGGGTGTTAGAGGGGCGTACCGAGGGAGCGTGACATGCTCCTGGACATTGCTGGTCTCACTTGACTTCTGTCAGGATTCCTAGTTCGATGGAGTTTGGAGAGAGTGATATGTGGGGGCCATCGGCGGGTGGGATCCGGACGCTGCACCAWACCTGACGAGACCGATCGGGGTTTATGCCCCTTTTTTTTTTTTTTTTTTTGGGGGGGGGGGGGGACAACGCTCCAAGTTWTTCGATCTTTGATATGGAGGTTTTTGTGGGGGTTTCCTGCCCTGACACCGTTGTCAGGGTCAGCCTGTGAAGGTGAAGGGGACAGGAGCTACGGGAGATTGTTGCTAGATTTCTCATATTCACTGCACAATGGGGTCACGTGGGGATTTCGCTTACGGTCTCCAGGAGCGCACATCGACCTCCTGGATAGGGTGTGCTCACCTGTCGTGGCCCGTATTAGGGCTCGCCACTCGAACCTACGATGATCAAAAACGTGAAAAAACTGAAGTGGTGAAGAAAGCGAACACACTTAAACGAGCCCTCCTGCCGACAACCTTGCCACTCGAACCTACGATGATGAAAAACGTGAAAAAACTGAAGTGGTGAAGAAAGCGAACACCCTAAAAGGACCCCCCTTGCCCACCGGCTCGCCACTCGAACCTACGATACGATGAGAAACGTGAAAAAAAACGAAGTGGTGAAGAAAGCGAATACCTTGAAACGACCCCCTTGCCCACCAGATTGCCACTCGAACTTATGATTAGAAACGTGAAAAAATGAAGTGGTGAAGAAAGTGAACGCCTTGAAACGACCCCCTCTGCCCACCGGCTTGCCACTCGAACCTACGATGATGAAAAACATTGGGCCTTCAACTATAGTTTGATAGTCTAGGTTTCGTATTAGACTAGGGTTGAGACAATTTGTGTGATCTTCGATGTTTTCCTTGTTCGCCGTTTGGGTAATACCGTAATAGTTGTTGTAATTTGTTGCAATTTTTGTGTAGCGTTTGTGCATGCGATGAAATGAAAGAGAGAGTGTCACTCTATAGAAACGCCATTATGGTGGGTGGTGGGGTTTCCTTGTGAGAAGGTGCAAATTAGTGGAAGTGGTTTTCCCTAAATCGCAAGGAGGTGGGTGGGTTTGCGAGGTCTTTGACCCTTGCTGTGCAGGAGGTAGGGTATTACCGCTGAGACATTGAATTTGGGTCAGGTATTCATTTCATCTTAATAGGCTGGTGTCCTACTGTCATCTGAATTCTTGAGGCAGAATGGTGAGCATTGCTCCACTGGGGCTTTGTCATGGAGGGCGGAGAAGCATCCGTTGGGGGTGTATGTAGAATTGAGGGAGGGGCTTAGCCTAAATCGCGAGGAGGTGGAAGAGTTTTGCGGGGCTTTTTGGCCCCTGCCGCGCGGGAGGTGGGTTAATCCCCTGGTTAGTGAAAATAGCATCGTGGTGGGAGTTGGTGTTTTTGTATGAAGAGTGTGAGGAGGTGCTATCCGCTTTGAATCGCAAGGAGGTGGGTGGGTTTGTGGGGCCTCTGCCAGCAGTTTGGGTCTGTGGGCACAGACCCCTTCCACGCGGGTGGCAGGGCGGATTGGCAGGGGTTGGTAGTAACTCTAGATGAATAGAAGACATGATCAAGTAGCGCTGACCACTGATTCTTTTCTGTGGTTTTGATTGCCTTTTGCGTACGGTCTTCTTTTCATGGTTGGTGGAATTTGGGTCACTAAATTAGGGTTGTCAGGACTGTTGTGATATAGTTTCTTTGTGATAAACTTAGATTTTGCTGATAGGATAATTTTCGCTGACTTGTCAGTGGTAGGGACTGTAGCGTTGGTTGTGGAGTTGACTGTGGGGTGAGATCTAGTGGTGCCCTCGATGTACTTGGTCGGTGATGCCTTGCCTGCTGAGGGCCCCACCTAATTTTGTAAGGGACGCCGAACCCGGTTGCCGGGTTTTATAAAGAATTGTATTCTTAAAAAAAAAAAAAAAAAAAGGGTTTCGACATCCTTTCAGCTGTTTTTTTTTATTCGAACCCCTTTCCTCCTATTGCAAAATTTGAGCAAACCTCTGCAATATCGTTTTCCCCCTTTCGTCTCTTTGCTCATAAGGATCCCTCAAACAGACATTATAAGAATCTTTGGTTCTGCCCTGGAATTAAACCCCCTTGCCCAGAATCATCGGTCACAGTCTTGCGTTGATCAACATCACCCGCAAGGGTACAAACCACACCAAAACGAAAAACACAAATGTTTCAGAGATTTTTCACACCACGAATACATGATTTTTCTACTGAATGTGGGACGTAATTGCAGGCATATACATACAACTTAAGAAAGTGCTAGTGTGAGTCTGTGTTGCTAATTGAAGCGGCTGCTTTTGTCAATGAGCCGCGGTGGAAAAGAACAGCACGCCAAACTTTGTCAACGCGTCAGTGCGACTTTGTCTTTCTTTTTGGCTGATTGGTTGGTGTTCCCCCGTACTAGCGAGAGGATGAGATATATGAGATACATGAAAAAAAAAAAAAAAAGTAGAATAAAAATGTCTGTGAAAGGTAGTGGTGGTTTAAAAGAACAAAAAAAAAAAAAAAACTTGTTTCAAGTAAATTTAGAGTCAAATAGCACTTACGTCAATGTCACGGCTAAAGGCAGACCCTCTGGAATGGACACGACAACAATTGCCACCTGCAAAAGGACAGTTTATGCCAAAAAACAGGAAAAAAAAGAACACAAGTCGGCTCATTCCAGCTTAAAAAAAAAAAAAAAAAAAAAAAAAAAATCATTACATGGCAACTAGCAGGACGTCTAGACCGGAATCCAGACGGTCCGGTTGTCTGGCTATGGGTCCTGTGTCTGGTCCGGTAGGTACAAATCTATGTAGCATCGTGTTCGCGTTCGGTGACCGAACCCGAACGTTAGCGACCAAATGCGAACGAGCATCAAAACCCTCGAAACGTGAACATAAAATATTTAAAAAAAAATGTTATGTAAAATAATAATACAAACAAAATTTGCCTCGGAGGTATGTACAAATTTGTAACCAAACTCGTAGAATATAATATGAAGAAATATCATTTTTTTAATATGAGAATTAAAAAAAATATGAATGAATTTATTATTGTTTGTAGATAAAAGTACAAAGATAGAAGAAAAAAATAGTAGTCATTCATTAATTAATAAATAAATAGTCTTAAATTAAATTAATATAATCAGTATGGTACCTTTCTATATTATAACTAGAGATCGTAAATCAACACAGTAATAAAAAACCTAAAAAAAAATAAAAATTTTGTTTTCTTTATAGTCATTAAAAAAAATATGTTCGACGGAACACGTTCAGGAGGTGTTTGGCCGAACACCCGAATATGTTCGGACGTTTGGAATATCTCCAGACATGTTCGGTGTACACAGATCCAGATTGGGCCCAATTTTGAAAATTTTGATTTTTTTCCTGTGGGTCCCTAGGCCACTTTTTAGGTCCTGGGCTGCCCCCCAAAAATGCCCCTGGCCCCCTGGTATTTTTTGGCCGTTTCAGGGCCTACCAGACGCGGCCAGAGGCCTCGAACTGTTACAGCTCCCTCTGTTGTTGTACAATGGTGGTAGTTCTTCGGATGAGGATGAGTCTGATTCCGAAAATGAAGCGCTGGCTCCAAAGCGCCACAAAACATCGAGCTAGAGAGAGAGAGAGAGAGAGAGAGAGAGAGAGAGAGAGAGAGAGAGAGAGATGATTTTGGTTTGATTTTACATCCCATCTTAGATATGGTCCTTACGAGATCTCAGATCTGTTCTTCCGCAAATCTGAATAACTTGACAGTTTAAATTTTCAATTTTCATATGAATATGAATTACAGAGAAGTCTACCTTCATAGGTCAAGTTCTGTTTCTTTCTGATTTCCGTACTCTTTTATGAAGTGACTTGGGATTGGTCTGTTGGGAACTGGTTTCGACTTTCCCGTGTTGTGAACTTTCTAGTGTTGTGTGAGCCTTTGTGAATGTCTGTGAATGTTTGTGACTGTATTGACTCTATGTAGATGGCAAGCTGCCAAATTGTCAATATAGTGAAAGACAGTAAGTTGTAGTTAGTACTGCTTATTACTAATGGTTTTTTTTTTTTTTTTTTTTTCTTCGCTCCGGACATTTTTTGTGTCAGGTGTATCGGGTCCGGTCCTGTCCGGTTGTCCGGCGCCTGTCAGGATTACCAGACATCTGGACCAGTCCACGCAAATGTTTGGGCCTTGGTCCAGACATGTCTGGGTCCGGGTCTGCGGGTGCCATGATTCATTATATGCTGGAAACGGGATCCAGCGTTCCAGAGAACATTTACCATAGTTCTCAAGCTGAGCAAGAACCTCCGGCCAAGCAAAGCTTGGACTGGAGTGGTCTCGAATCCACGCACTATTGTATAGCAAGCTGGCTACCAGAGTGGCCCGGGGTCACTTGCCCGGCTGGGCCAAAAAAAAATAAAAATGATAAAAATATTAAAATAATTTAAATAAATATATATATATATATATATTTTTTTTTTAATTTGGTGAAGAATTTTGATATAACCCTGGGACAAAAATTGTTCAGTTTATTTTTCTGCATAACATAGTTTTTTTCACTTTTTGTAGATTTTTTGGATTTTTTTTTTTTTTTTGTTGGGATCTTCCTTGGTCCCTGCACGGGCTGGCCACACGGGACCCGGGCGGCCCGGCTGGTAGCCTAGAAAAAAAATGAATTTTTGGAATTTGTTTCTTCTCGCTTTTTGGTTAAACAAAGCGACCCTGTTGGCCCCTCTGATAGCCTATATATTAATCAATCATTCTCAACAATCCGTATGCAAAGCCAACAGCATCTAAAAAACCACCAAACAAACAAACAGTGAGCGTTAGCGTTAACGCTAGCGCCTCTGAATTTTTTCACCAGAGCAAGCGCTTGGGCTGTGGGGGATCGCATTCATGCAGCTGCAATCAGTGTTGTGTGGTGCCAAAACCTAGGGTTGGGGTGGTGGAGGCGATGGGGGAGAAGAGTCGCTTGGGCACAGGGTGGGGACTGCCTTGAGGAAGCACTAAAATGTTTTTGCCATATCCTGGTCCCAGTCGATATATGCTGGCATTCTTGGAGAGAATACGGGAGGATGGAGGAGATGAGTGGTCGTCCGAAGGGCGGGATCTGGGCGTCGCGCATACCAGTATGTGAAACCTGTCAGGTACAGTAACTGTTCCTCTGGCTTTGATACGGAGTCAGAAGTTGAAGACTCACGGGGAGATGAGAGACGTGTGTGCATCGAAGAGCGTCGGCTTTTGGAAGAGCGACACTAGAGCTTAGTTGTGACCGATATCGCCCACCGTCGTTGACAATAGGCATTAAGCTGCAATCAGCGTCGCTTTGCGTTGCTGATGCTCCTACTTCGGGTGTGGTGTAGCTTGCGAACTCTTCATCCTTACATGGTTTTTTCACTAAGTCTTGTAAAGATTATCATGAGAGTTAATTAGGTCACGTTGGTATGTGAAGTGGGTATTTGCTTTTTGTTTCTTTGCCTGTGAGTTAGCTAGGGTTCATTTGTCAGTTGATTATTTCTGTTGGTCTTTTTGAGTGTTTAGGGTTAGGGTGTAGATTTCCGGTTGCATTTTTCGTTTGGTGGTTTCAGTTGGTTTGTGTTTTAGTGTTAGGGTTGGCGATGTTAATTAGTATTAATTAGGGTATGATGTTAATTAGATTTAATTAGGGTTAATTAGGGAGTGGCGTTGCAGGCTGACGGGTGCTCAGCCGCAGTGAGGTTAATCCAGGCCGGAAAGCCTAACTCATCCCTGCGGGCCATGGTTATTGATGTGAGGGACGTTGGGCCTGTTTCCCAGCCTGTGATGATATGATATACTATTTTTTTTCTTAAAAACAAAAATAAAAAATCACCAAACAATGCAAATACGACCACGATTCGGCACTCGAACTCTGCTAAATTATTTAAAAAAAAAACTGGAAGAGAAAAGGAACACCAAGTTGATGACAAACACACCTCGCTGTTGGACAGAACGTTAGCTATTAACAACGTTGTGCTGACCTCTATTTGGTATAAATCAGCAATTTGGGCTTTGGATAAAGCAACCATTAAGGTCTTCCAAAGACAATTAGCATTTTTTCTTTGTCGAGGTAATCATGATGTGAAAATGCCATTAATAGCGTGGCATGGCTATTTATAATCCAACCCAAATCTAAAGGTGGCCTTGGCATCATTGATCACACCACCCAGGCTATGACTCGTTCTATTCAATGTCTAAAACGCCTCCTATTCAACCCCCAGACCCCTTGGAATAAACTCGCATGTGAGCAAATCATAAGACTAGCCCCACCCACCTCAGAGGAGGTGGACCCCCTCATGTGGTTGGAGAATCGATTCTGGTCGCTCCCAAGGGGCACTTCAGCAGAACCTCAACACCTGGAACTCTCTGACCACCAAGCTGCCAGGAGGGATCTTGTTAGGGACCCTTTTTAGATTGATTTGTTAAAAACATGGAGGAAGTTACCTCTCCCGGATAAAATAGCATCTGAGATATGGGAAGAAGTGTGTCAACAACCATTATTCAACAACACATTCATCAGGGACTCCCAAGGTTATACTCTCAACTATACAGACTCGCCTTGGAAAGGGTGGATTAGGAAAGGAATCATACGCATCAAGGACATCTGGAGCATTGAGGACAGAGACTGGATCGACCCTTCGATCCTCCATGAAGGATTAAGATACTGTCACCATCAGAAAGAAGCCCTGAAACAAATAATCGACGTAATTCCCTTGGAATGGGTCAGAATCTTTAGGAAGGGGCCTAATCTTACCCCCAATGATTGAGTGTCCATCATTGATCAACAAGGGCTTAGCCTAGTAGAGAATATAATTGAAGTCCGCAACATAGGGGACGTTTTTATGACTATTTTTGATTTGGGGGAGGATGGATTCCTCAAGACTAGGTCACAGGAGCACATGGGGTGGTTCAAGATGGACAAGCTATTCAGGATTACGGTCCTAATGATTAAGGTAAAATGGATTGCATATAAACCAGACACACCCATTTCCCACCTTCCTCTAGACCCGGTATGTTGGACCTGGTCTACATTGTCTGCCGTAGGGCGCTCCCATACTAGGGCACTTCACACGCTGTCAGTTAAGTCTACTTACCGGATGCTTCGTCCTAAGGTAAATATAAATGATAAAATAGAAGACCGATGAATGAGACATCTAAATGTAAGCAAAGAGGAGTTGCGATCAATCAAGTGGTTCCATTCTATTAAATCTAGACCTGCTAAGGTGACATCGTTGCAATGACAAATCGCTCATCGTTGCTTTCCCACAAATGATTGGATTATTGACAGAACCTCGCTAGAACAAAAAGGAATAATCCTACCTTGGTGCAAGTTCTGCAAATCAGCCTTCCCTTCCAAACTAATTCCGGAAACACTAGAGCACATTTTTTTGCAATGCCCAGGATCAGTTTGGCTAATGCGTTGGTGCGACAGGATTTGGAATCATGTAGGAACATCCCTCCCCTGCCCCTGGAACTGGAAAGCTCTTCTCCTGGAGTCCTGAAACCCGATCCAGGAGGATGTTTTCACATCAAATTTATTTACAATCGGAAGGAGAGCGGTCATTTGGGCAATATGGACACTAAGGTGTACTTATGAAATGGAAGGCGCTCGTCTAGATGGTCCTGAATTCACATAATCAATAAGAGATTACTACCAGATGGGAGACCCTAAAGGAAAAACTACAATTTTCTTTCATTAGAAAAGGAAATTCTGCAACATATTAAAATTTAAAACATGCAATCAGAGCTGGCTTGGAGGGGACCAAGGAGGGAGGTTGGGGCAGGTGAAATGGGAAGGAAAACAAGGGAATGTTCAGGATGAGATTCCAAGAAATTACCGCTTGCTCTTCAATGATTGGAGCAATATTGATCCCACTATACCCTTAAGGCCTCTGTCGGATTTCCCCGATCCTTTCCCCCCATCAGGGCTGTGCTTGGTTCCCAGGTCATGGTATGCACTTGAATGACCTTCAGGATAAGTAGTGTTTTTTGCCTTTGAAGAGTTTGCTCAGATTTTCAGATTCTCAGTCAAATGAGTAGGTTTAAGTGCTAGGTGGTCATGTATATCTCGCGCCTGATCCCACTATACCCTTAAGGTCTCTGTCGGATTTCCCTGATCCTTTCCCCCCATCAGGGTTGTGCTTGGTTCCCAGGTCATGGTATGCGCTTGAATGACCTTTAGGATAAGTAGCGTTTTTTGCCTTTGAAGAGCTTGTTCAGATTTTCAGATTCTCAGTCAAATGAGCAGGTTAAAGTGCTAGGTGGTCACGTATATCTGGCGCCCTGGTCAGGGTGAAGAGGCACAAGATTCGGGACTTTACCACTTTACACTCAGTATCCACGGATCAGAAGGGACGTTGGGACCGGTTCCCAGCATGAGTTGTACCCTTACCTTTCATTGCTATTCAATGGGACGCTGGACCCGTTTTCCAGCAGAGGTGCAGCTCCCCACCAATCAAATGGAGCCCCTAGCGAGTCAGGGTGACGTATGGAAATGCGCGTTTTTGTATGTGGTCATATCTGACATCATGGGTTTAAATTTAAAAAAAAAAGAAAAAGAAAAAAAAAGCTGAGTGGTTAGAGCACCGGTTGGAAATGCGCATTTTTGTATGAGGTTGCAGGTTCAAATCCGCAGCCTCATGCATGGACACCGGCAGGGCGTTAGAATGATGCACGGCTGGACACACACCCCTTGGGGTGACGTATGCATGGTAAGCTATTACAGACACTGCCTGCGCAACCACCACCCAAAGGATTGTCCATGGTGTTGTATGTGGCGTCCTGGCCTAAGAGGGGTTTGCCTGATACAGTTAGCGGTCTAATGGGGATGCAGATAGGGGTTTGTGGTTAGAATGCTCATGTGTGTTGGTTACCTTAGGCTCTGCTTTGGGGGGGCAAGGACCTTAGGTGGGATGGGGTCCCGTTTGGGGGGAGGGTTGGCTTGGGACCAGCTCTGCTGGAGACTATATGTAGGGGAACCTACAGTAGGGGATTCTCTTAAACCACCAGTACTTGGCCCATACATCGGCCGCGGGCCCTTAGCGTTAACACTACGCGTTTCCCGCGCTTCGGCTAAGGCTTGGCATGGCAATGGGGGAGGGAGCTGGTGGCCCCATGGAAACGGGGCAAAAGGACTGCACGATGTCCTGGTGGTGTGCTATGTGGAAACGCACGGACACTGAAATCAACGAGGGAAAAAACAGAAACGAAAAGGAGAAAAAAAAAAAACGAAACAGATCGTGGGCACCTCGTGGTCAGACTTCCCGTTGGACATGGGGAGCATTGAATGCCAGGCAGTGTAAGGTCCTCACTCTCCCAAATGTATCTGGACGTAAAACGCGACACGTGAGTGCATAGCTTGGTTTCCCTTTTCACCTTTTTTTTTTTTTTTGCTTTTTCTGAAGAAGATCGTTGGCACTTCGTGATCTGACTCCCTGTTGGNCCTTTTTTTTTTTTTTTGCTTTTTCTGAAGAAGATCGTTGGCACTTCGTGATCTGACTCCCTGTTGGACACGGGGAGCATTCACACTCTCCCAAATGTATCTGGATGTAAAACGCGACACCTGAGTGCATAGCTTGGTTTCCCTTTTCACCTTTTTTTTTTTTTTCCGCTTTTTCTGAAGAAGATCGTTGGCACTTCGTGATCTGACTCCCCATGGGACACGGGGAGCATTGAGTGCCTGGCAGTGTAACGTTCACACTCTCCCAAATGTATCTAGATGTAAAACGCGTCATGTGAGTGCATAGCTTGGTTTCCCTTTTCACCCGTTTTTTTTTTTTTTTTTTTTTGGAAGAAGAAGATCTTTCGCACTGGCTGCACTCCTGGTGAGGCTTCGGGTGCCACCTGAGTGGAAACAAGAAACCGACGGCCTGTTTACGTTCCATCTGCTGGCAGCAGGTCCAGCATAAGGGGCGGCACCTGCTTGAAGCAACAAATGTCCCGTATTTTTCCCCATTCACTGCAGGCTCGGCAAAAATCGGCACGCAGGCCACATTCAGGCTCGGCTTCAATAGCTGTATTAGCTGGGCCAAGTACTGGTGGTTCAAGGGATCCCGGTAGGAGCCTAGGAGGGGTGTTATTAGACAGACTCTGGTGGAGGCAATCGTTGGGGAACCTGCTGTAGGGGCTGTCTGAAGGGGATCCTCCAAGATAGGATGGTCTGTGTCCCATAAATTAGTTGCTGACTGTAGATAGGTAGGTACCTGTCGTGGGTCCAGATACCTACCTCTACAACACCCTGGACTTCAAAAAAAAAAAACAAAAAAAACAGGAGATGTCATATTGACCTCAGTTGGTACACCCCTGAACTGTGGACTGGTTCCCCCGAGAAAATACAGGGGCTCGTTTTTCTTAGGAAAAAAAAGAAAAAAGAAAAAAAAAAGAGACCTGCCAATGGGCCTATTTAAGTCGGTACACCCGTGAACTGTTGATATAGGGGCTCATTAGACACTCCTATTGAAATCCTCGGGCAAAAGGAAAAATTCCTTTTGGTCCAAAAGGAAATTTGGGCCCTTCGTTCCACCTGTCCTCGGGGACGTCGCCCGAGGACATTTCCTTCGAGCGATGTCAGAAAAGAAAAAAGAAAAAGAAAAAAAATCAAATGTGCTTGAGGCCTTCAGCCAATAGGGTTCCGCCACGATCCAGATTCTCGGTTGTAACGTCTCTCTACCCATGTGCCCTCTCCTATCCGTGAAACGCGGATTCCTTTTGCCCAAGAGACCTCGTGAGGTCCCTTGGGCAAAAGGAAGGAATGGCTGGGGAATCCTCGGAGCCCAAGGAATTTCCTTCGGAGTGTTTTCATTATTTTTTTTCCGACTGCATCCCCAAGGATAGGTGGAATGAACAATTCCTCGGGGACTTTACGCGCCCGAGGAGTGTCTAACGAGCCCCATACAGACCCAAGTTTGAATCCAGATGCAGTCAGGATTTTGTGCTAAGTGCACCATCTCAGCCCTCTTTTGGGATTGGTGGCGCACCCAAAGCACCCCGGTACCGACAGCAGCGGAGTGACGGTCAAACATTTTTCATCCTACTGGGAACTGCCGCAAGACCTCTTTTTTTTGTTTTTTTCTTTTCATCCATCGCCCCCATAATTTGTTCTCTCGCTCAATCTCCTTGCACTTACCACAATCTCAACGATATGGACAAACTCTTTGGCCTTGTCGATACCCCGAGGGTACTTCTTTGTTTTCACAGCATCAACCGCAAACCTGTAGTTTGATGGAGCGCCACAGTTGAAACAACAAATCACAGGCAGCAAAATGCAGACAAAAAAAAGAAAAAACAAAGAAGGTAAACAAGGGCGCTGGGACCTATAATCCCAAATTTAATTCTATAATCCCAAATTTAATTCTCCCAAAAAAATGTAAAGGAGGTGTCACACAGATTTGCCAAAGACCTAAATGTACCATTTGTGTGCCCACCATTTGTCAGCGGCCTGTGCAGCCACGTGGCAAGGGAAAATTTGCGGCCACGTCTGGAGGTGACTGCAAAATTGCGCAAATGCCCTATTTATTTTTTTGCATTGTCTTCAAAAATTGGTGAAAATTCGTTCGTGAAAGTTCTTGCACAATTTGTGGATGGCGCAGTGTGAACAGCAAAGTACCAAATTGCCATTGCTCCAGACGGCCACGGCCTTGTCCCATCTGAAAAGGTACAGCAGTGCGACCCAAAACCATGCCCAAAACATCAAATCGGCGGGATTTGGGGTCACAGTGTGAGTATGCCCTCACACTGCGACCCCAAATCTGCAAAATCTGAGGATTCGAGAAGGGCCGATTTGAAGTTTCAGGCATGCATTGGTTCGGGTTGCACTGAATCATCTATCCCCTGATCATGGCTGTGACGGCGACACAGCTGAAACATGTCGGGAGCCTTCGCCGTTTGGCTCAGTGTTGGTCCCCGGTCCAACCGGGGGGCCCTCCTCAAGCCGGAACCGTTCCGGTCGGACCGGCCGGTCCACCAGCCCGGCTCCCCCCCGGTCGGCCCCAGCGCATTAGAGCTGGGGGAGGGTACTGGGGTCCAATCGGTACGGTGGGCACATTGGGGTCTAGAAACATCGTCCGCGCCAAAAAAAAAATTGAATCGGTCCGGTAGGCCTGCCCGATTTGTTTGAAAAGGGTGGCTGATCTGGGCCGCCGATCTTGAGAGATCGGCGGCCCAGATCGACCGCCCTTTTCAAACGAACCGGGCGGGATCTGGGGGCCGACTTTCGGAGGTTGCCTTTTGCCTCCCGCTGCCCCGAACGCGTTTCGGCATCGCGTTCCCGCCGATGACATCGGCATCGCTCCGAACGCGTCCACGACATCGCGTCGACTACATCGCGGCCACGACATTGCGTCCTCACAGGTTCGGCATCGCGTCCACGACATGGAGAGGCAGGCGACCCGTCCTCTTCTTCTTCTTCTTCTTCTTCTTCTTCTTCTTCTTCTTTAGTTATTCTTCTTCTCTCTCTCTCTCTCTCTCTCTCTCTCTCTCTCTCTC